CCGTAGGCGTTTGGTTTACGTCCCCTATCACGTTCTCAAGTCTGACAAATATCTTTAGAGGTTCATAGGTAATGCATTTTGGTTACTTAGAGACGAAATCGTAGCTAAAGACGTGGATACACATTTAAAAACACTTGATGTAGCTTGAAAGCTTGAAGAAGCCAATTTAAAGATAAAACTGTCTAAATGTCAATTTTTTCAGATCAAAATTTAAGTTTTTGGTCACGTAGTCCTCCTAGAGGGGTTCGACTGCCCAAAGAAAATAAACGCGTCAAATTTTCCCAAACCCAAAAAACTGCTGATCCCGAAAGACCCTTTTTGGGGGCTTAGCGGTTTTTTAGATCTTTCTTGCCAATTTTTCTTCCATAGCGCTCCTCAACTGAGTTGTTTAAGAAAGATGCCCCTTTTTTTTGGGACCTTCCGCAAAAAAACGCATTCCAAACCTAAAGAAAAGTAACATCTGCCCCAAAATTTTGAAATTTCCAGATTTTTCTAAGCCCTTCTATCTGAAATGTGAAGTTCTTGGCATAGGTGCCGTACTAGCTAAAAGCCCGATGGCAAGTACAAGCAGTTGTTTTGTACCGATCCTTAAAAAGGGGAAATGAATTATACAGAAACTGAGCAAAAAGTTTGGGGCAATAGTATGGCTTTAAAGCATTCCAGACTTTATTTTCAGTACTTGTTATTTTTGACGGGCCCATGCCCCAGAACTTTATTCCGAACAAAAAAACCCTAGGAAAGGTTCCAAGGGCCTTGACTATCCAAGAGTTCAATCCCACCTTTGAGCATTTTTCTGGCAAGTCAAAAGTGTCGCAGTCCTTATCGCGCATTTAGATAGTAACTGGACCTCCATTAGGTGAAGAAGTAAAAATGCTCAACAAACAAATCCCCTGTGGTCTGGTGTGATTCGATTCCTGCTCCAGGAAAATCTTTTCTACTGTGAAGCCACCAGACCCTCAGGACTTGTCATGAACCCGAATTACGTATCAACGCCGAGTTTGGGGACTCCCCAGGAAAGTATACCAGTTGTTTCCACAGTCACTAGTGAATGTAGCCTTTCGCTAGTTCCCCGATGTACCAGGGGTTGCACCCCTGGATGGATCGTTCGTAAAACAAGCCAGATTGAAAAACTTTTGGCCTGTATGGCAACGGTTTTCTGATATGTTAAGAAATGTAGTGTCTGCATGCAAAATAAAATTTTTGCTATGGTCCTAATCCAAACCAAGTAAATCCCAAACCCCTAGCGAACAGTGGGAAAAGTTGCGCAGATTTTTTAAATAATTTCAAAGTTCCTCCAGGCAACCAACTCGGGTTATGGGAGACCCTTTCACCAATATTGGAGTTAGTTCCTATTGCAGATAAGACGCCAGACAGTAGCAAAAAAAGTTTAAAAAACGCATTTCTCAGGATACCACCCCCAAACCCCAGTAAAGATAAGGAGGTGAATTCTGTAATGAGTTTTTTTTAAAATTTTTGTACCCTTTTCAAGATCTCTAAATCCCCCATTTGTTCCTCTCATCGAGCAAAGGGTTGCGGAACGAAACCCTAAGAAAAGTACTTGTGTCTTGAGGCCACTTCAAACCCCAAAAGTGAAACTTGGGGTGAAGTTATACTGTGGCAGTGTGCTAAAATTCTGCTTACAAATTTTTTATAGGTGACATCAAATTTTGCATTGTATGGTGTAGATAAACGTTTGCCTTATAGTTGCTAAATTCTAATCCCAAACCCAAATTCAACCCCGAGATTTTCGGGAACTCGTCCGCTTTGCTCAAAGAGTTTTTAGAAAAATCCGTGAAACACTTCTAAATAAAAAGCGATTACAAGAGTCGCAAAAAAATCGAGCAAAGCCACCCAAAACAATTTGGTTGAGAGTTTGTGATTAACTTTAAAAAAATCTGCAATGCCAAACTTGTCAAAAGTTTGTTGGGCCTTATCGATAGTTGAACATATCCCCGGTAAAAGTATAAGGTTAGGAAAATTAGTATGGTCAGTATAAAGAATCGCATTTAATCATTAATTGATGGATGATAATGAAAGTTTCCAAACCCCGACTAAGTGACGACTCAAAAAATCCCCGTCCCGTACTCTCTTCCCCCTGATACTCAGACAAACAACCGATGTCATTATTCCCCACTACCCCGACAGGGATGAGAAATCCCCAAGTATCATTTGAACATCCAAATTTAATTTTCCTCAAAAACGCATGAGTTTGCCAATGCAACAGAGTTTGATCCCCCCAAGATGACACCCTTTGATATGTCAATCTTACCCCACAATTGGGGTTAAATGTAAAAACCCGTTAGATGATAATTACGTTCAACTTTCATATTCAAGAATTTTTTTTTTTGTGTTCAGTTTCTCCGCATTTGAGATTAACAGTCTAGATTTGAGTGCACTGATCGCTTTCTGTTTAAAAACTCTTTCTTTGTATATATTCCTTCTCAGAATCCGTAGATCCTGAACAGATCGATGATCAAAAAAATTTTTTTTTTTACTTACTGTGTAAACCCAAAGTTGGTTTCTTCGATGATTTTGTATATTATCCTTGTATTGCATTCGTTTCAGTTAGAAAACTTCCCTTCAAAGTTTTTTTCTTATGTATGTTATAATGTTTAATTGTTTTGTCTTTGACATTGTAAGAATCAGCCCCAAACCCAACCCGCCTCTCTATTTTATTAGTTGTATGTCGGGGGACACGTTAGCGCGCCGAGCTCTCGTTAGTAACCAGTTACCAGTAACCCGTGTACCCTAGATGACTCACACCAACCCTCCTGCCCGAGTCACTGTCGTTTCATAATTTTTGTGACCACGCAGTATTCAAAAAACCCCCCCAATAGGGTACTGTGGGCATCAGTCATACGAGAGTGAGCAAGAAAAGGGGAGGCTGTTTGGGGGTCCCCACTTTATCCCTAATTATACGTACTTCCAGCCTACAGAGTATTACTTTACCCTACCACTTTTTTCAACTCCAATGATAAGAGAGGGGGAAAGGGGGGAGAGAGAGGAGGAGAGAGAGAGAGAGAGGAGAGAGAGAGAGAAGAGAGAGAGAGTAAAGAAGGGAGAGAGAAAGAGGGGAGAAGAAAGGAAAGAAAAAAAGGGAGGGAAAGAGAGAGAAGAGTGAGGGGGAAGAGAGATAGAAAGAGAGAGAGGAAAGAGAGGAGAGGGAGAAGGAGAGGGAAAGAGAGAGAGAAGGAAGGAGAAAGAGAGGGGAAAGAGAGAGGAGAAGGGAAAAGGAGAGGGGAAGAAAGAGAGAGGGGGAGGAAGAGAGGAGGGGAGGGGAAAGAAAAGAGGAGAAAAAGAGAGGAGAAGAGAGGGAGAAAGAGAGAGAGAAGAGAGAAGAGATAGAAAAGGGGGGAAAAGAGAAATGAAAGGGGGAGAGAGAGAGAGGAGAAAGGGGAAAAAGAGAGAGAGAAAGAGAAGAGAGAGAAGAGAGAGAGAGAGTGGGGAGAGGAGAGAAGAGAGAGAGGAGAGAGGAGAGAGAGAGGAGAGAGAAGGGAGAGAGAGAGAGAGAGAAAGGGAGAGAAAGGGGAGAGGAGAAGAGGGGAGAGAGGAGAGGAGAGAGAGAGAGGGGAGAGAGAAAAGAGAGGGGGAGAGAGAGAGAGAGAGAGAGAGAGGAGGAGAGAGAGAGGGGAGATGGGAGAAAGAGGAGGAGAAAAGAGGGGAGAAGAAAAAGATGAGAGAGGAAGAGAAAGAGAGGAGAGAGAGAAAGAGAGAGAAAGAGAGAGAAAGAGAGAGAAAGAGAAAGAGAGAGGAAAGGGAGAAAGAGAGAGGAAAGAGAGAGAAAGAGAGAGAAGAGAGAAAGAGAGAGAGAAGAGAAAGAGAGAGAGAGAGAAGAGGAGAAAGAGAGAAAGAGAGAGAAAGAGAGAGAAAGAGAGAGAAAGAGAGAGAGAAAGAGAGAGAAAGAGAAGGGGGAAAGAGAGAGAAAGAGAGAGGAAAGAAGGGGAAAGAGAGGAGAAAGAGAGAGAAAGAGAGAGAAAGAGAGAGAGAAAGAGAGAGAAAGAGGAGAAAGAGAAAAGAGAAGAAGGAGAAAGAGAGAGAAAGAGAGGAAAGAAGGGGAGAGAAAGAGAGGAAAGAGAAGAAAGAGAGAGAGAAGAGAGGAAAGAGAGAGAAAGAGAGGAAGAGAGAAAGAGAGAAAGAAAGAGAGAAAAGAGAAGAAAAAGAAGAGAAAAAGAGGGAAAGATTAAAGAGAGAGAAAGAAGAAGAGAGGACACACACAACATATAAATACAACAATCAAATTTGACAAAAAACTCATTTCCTTGTACCTAGTTCGCAATCAAACTTTGGGGGCCCCACCCTGGACTATACGTACCTCTGTATCTGTAAAAACCCTTGTAACTTCTGATTGTAAACAGACTACTGGAGTTCATTACTTTGTAAATTGTGAGTATTACCTCTGTAACATCTCAGTATCAAAAACTTTGGAGTCAGTTCCTGGACAATTATGTACCTCGAAAATTTTGATACGCCACAGGAAGGATGGGTGCATAATAAACATATTAAACTAAACTAACATGGGTTATTATCAAGATTTTTGACATTTCCTCAAACACTTGTGGTCACATTCACCTCAAAGCCACTAAATTCTGGGTCAACATCACATTCTTCTTAAAGGGAAGTGTTAATACAACATGACATTAGTGAATCTCTGGTGTTTGCTGCAAAGTTTGCTCTAGCTGGCACTCAGTTCAACTGGTGCTCCCACAAGGTACTAAGTGGTCCCAGATTTTTTTAATACTGCACACACCGAGTGTTAAGACCCATTCTATGCTGACCAGGCATCTCAGGCCAATTGTGCCAAATTTGGAGGCAGGAAAAATAAAACATTGATTTACGTTAGGAGTGCTCGCGGTAACGTATATCTATGTTTGGACAGTTAAGGGGTTAAGTGAGGAGAAGCTGCATTAAATTTGGCAACTTTCCCGAGGAAGGGTAACAGTACAACAGATGCATCAGTGTATGAAGATGTTTAAGTGGTAAATTAAAGCAGAATACTATACCTGGCTCCTTCACCAGCTACAACAACAATGGTAACAGAGGCTCCGGTTTCTTGACGAATTTCTCCACCACCATATGCTGCAAGACGACCCTTCCCCTTAAATACACCAAAACTGCTGGGTAAAAACCCCAGGGCTCATGGTCAACCCCCAAAAGCCAACAAGGGCCTGCGATTGGCCAAATGGGTGGATGCCACATAATGCTATCTGTTATAAATGAAAAATTTAAAAGGTGAAGGCCTTTAGAATCATGCCACCCCAAAGACTTGCCCCCTGAAACCACAAAAAAGTGAATATCAGGGGCCCCCCGGTTAAACGATTTTAACCCGTGCAAGAGGGGTAATTTTTATCAAAATATCTTATGTGAATAAATTTTTCCCCCATAAGAAATAAGGGAAATAAAATTAACCCGTGCAGAACCAAAAGTATAAAAAAAAATTTTTTTTTCCACAAAAAATATTAATTTTAATAAAAAAAAACGAAAAAGGCATGCCCCTTACATACACTTCTTTTATTAAAGATTGGTGTAGTGGGAGGGGAGGAGGGGAGGCATTATCTTTTACGTTTAGAGGGGAATCCCCTTCCTTTTTGGTTGAGGTAGCAAGTCCTTTCTGGGGTTTCTTCCCTTCTTCTTTTAAGCACTAGGGCCATTTGAGTCATGGACTTTTTTGCACAAGATATTGTCCTAGTGGCCTGTACCCCTGTTCCTTTTTCACTTCCCTAAAAATGTTTCACAAAAATTGTCGTGTACAATTGCCAACCGGCTTTCAATAGCTGTGTGAGGGGTTTTTATTTTATCCATGAAGGTTTGACTTCAAGCCCCTTTGCCGTTTCCTTTATCTTTGAGTAGGCAACTTCTTCAATTTTCTTCCCCTCCCCTTTAACCATTTCCCAGGTCTGGGCCCCTTGCCTTCAAGTTATCTTCACTCATCATGGTTAGTTCTTCATTGTCCTCCTCCACCAATCTTCCACATCCTCCCCATAACCTCCAACCCCAAAGGGCTTTTTCCCAAAAGCCAAATGGATTCCCCAAGGCCCCGGATTTCAGGGGGAGCCTCAAACCCCTCAAAATCCCTTTGTCTACAATTTGGCCAAGTTTTTTCCAAGCAAGTTCAAGGTCCCCTTTTCACTTCCTCCCAGCCTTACCATTGGTTTACACAAAGGATAAAAAGTGACTCCCAAAACTCTCTTAGAGTCAGTTGAGTTTCTGAGGGCTTAAAAGCACCTTTCAACAGAATTTTTGGTACAGTTTCTTGAAGTTGGAAAAAAAACCCGCTGGTCCTGGTGAGGAGAGGAGGTATTTGAGGAAAAAAACTTCCCCTTTAATGAAGTCATGTCCCCATAATCGCTCTGCAGTCTGTAGGTGACCAGGGGGCATTTTTTTCCCCCGGAGGCACAAGTTCTAATTTCTTTTCAGTTAGGTAATCTTTAAATTTGGGGGCAATGCAGGGTGAAAATTATAGAAAAAATTCCCTAGGACCCATGCCTTACTGTTTGCCCCCACAGCACACCAAATTACCCTTTTGAGGTTCTTTTGCCTGCGTCTGGGAGTTAGAGTGATACCTAAAAAGGCTTCTTTTTGAAAATCCCCCAGTAGCTTTGGAAAACATGGAAGAGAAACCCTTTTTCATAGGCTTATGCTGGGATTGGCCTTTTCCTCCTAGTAATGGGTCTGTTTGGCATTTTCTTCCGAACAGCCTGTTTCTCAAAAATTAACACTTTTTCAGGTTTCAGTCCTTCATTTTATGACCCCTTAAATTCCCTGCAATATTTTTCAGCCGCTTTTGGTCAACTGGCCCCCTCACCACCCTTTATCACCATGGATCCCACACGTTTCTTAAATCTCTCAACCAACCTTTGCGGCCCTTTAAATTCACTCAAATCACACTAGTTGCAGGATTTTTTTAATTAAATTTCATGCAACTTCCTGGCCTTTTCACATATGATCGCTTGAAGAGCTATCCCCTCTGCTTTTTTTTCTTTATCCCCCCCAATAAATCTCTCAACATTTCCATCACTGCGTCTTTGTTTCGAAAACACAGAAAAACCCTTTGGCAAGAACACTTCCTTATTGTCTTTTTGGTGCCCACAATAGTACGATGGTTTTTGGGGGTTTCTTGTACAATTGATATCGGGGATACGCCTCCACTTTATATTTCAATGACTTTTTTCATTTTAATGGGGATTCTTTCCTTTTTGGGGTTTTCGGTTTGGACTAGAAGCTTTTTGGGGCCCATGGTTTTTTTTTCAGAAACGACGAAAAAAAAATGTAAAATACGAAAAATTTGATGTTTGTTGGGTTAGCGCGGAGGGTGGTGGTAAAAATGGAAAGGGGGGCATGTGGGCTGGGTGAGGGCCACATTTGGCGGGTCTCGGCGAAAATCGGTGGGGCGGTTTTAATCGGTTTGGCCGGCAAAAATTTTGGATTTAAAGTAAGCGGTATGCAAATAATGCTTGTGATGCCTCGTTTTGCGGGGGTCCCTGTATTATATTATATCGGATATTATTTTGTTGTAGTACGTTAGAGTAAGGTAGATGGAAAGAGGAAAGGTGGGAACAACAAGTAAGAGGGGTGAAAATGTAAAATAAGGGAAAAAGGAGTTGGGTGAGATATAAGGACTATTGGGAAAGGGGGGTAGTGCCAAAGAGAGTAGTGGGGGGGTGAAAAAGGTTTAATAGTTTTTAAAAAGCAGTATTAGAATGTGGGGAGAAGCTTTTGGTTTAGGGGGGGGGGCGGAGGAAAAAAGGGGTGATTGGGGGGAATGATGAAGTAAAGGTGTGAAAAGAGAAAAAAGGTAGTTTTGAGAGGTTTTACAAAGAGAAGTGTTTAAGAAGAAGAGTTTGGAGAGTAAAAGAAAGGTGAAGAGAGTGGTGGAGAGTGCAAAAGGGAAGCCAAGATTTTGGTGGGGGAGAACTGTCAAGAAATTTTAATGAAAATAAGAAAAAAATTTTGGAGTGGGTTAAACAATTAAGAAAAACCCCAGGGAAAATAGGGATTTGTCAGTTAAAAACGATAGGGGGGGTTAGTAGTGGGGGAGGGAGGTATTAGGTAGATGGCAAGATATTTTGAGGAAATTTTAATGTTGAGGGAAAAAAGGGGGGGGCGGGAAAATTTTAGCACTGGCCGGGGAGGTATACCATTTTTTTGGGTGAGAAGAGCAGAATTTAAGTGTGGTGGAGGAAGTGGGTATTTTCGTAGAATGAAAGGGGGTTTTAAAAAGGGTAAATGATGGGGTCGACGAAAAGTTAAAAAACGGGGGGGAATTTGTTTGGGGGTGGTTGGTACTTTTGTTTTAAAAAATGTATGAAAGAAGGAAGGTCCTAGGGGTTGGCGGAGAGCATGTAAATCCCCTTTTTTAAAGGGAAAAGGGGACAAAAAAGATTGTAAAATTTAAAAGGAATAAGATTTTAAATATCCGGAAAAGTTTCGGTAGGGTTTTTAAATTTT